TGGCTCGAGGGGGATTCGAACCCACGGTCCCAGCGACCAAGCGGCATAAGGCCCGCGCCTCAGACCGCGAGGCCACTGCGGACCCAAGGAAATGTAAGACATCTTTTTTTCATAACCAATAAACGTGTTGTCGTATGTAGTTCGTCAATGAAGTTGAGAAATCGAACACTTTTCCTTCAGAAGAATTAAGCCGCTTTAGACTGTACAGCTCTTTTTACACCCAGCTGTGAGTCATCCTATGAACTTTCACTATTGTTTGAAGTAAGTCTAGCGCTGTCTTCAGAGCTGGGACACGCCCACTTAAATGATGAGACGTGTAATTTCAGAAATGGCCGCTGCATTACGTCGTCTGTTATGTGTTAATGCCTACTACCTGACGCTTGTAGAAAGAGAATGTTGTCTCAAGAGCACAACTATAAGTTTCCACACGTATCTTGCTTGGTTCTTGTGTATGTCACTATTCAAACACTCTTCACTGTCTGTTCGCTTGAGAAACATGTTTCGAACCAGTGTGGCCATCATCAGGTTAATTTCTCTGCTTATTACACAAAGGATATTGTCCTCCGCAATGTCCAGGAAAATTATATTTTAAATTTAGTAGGATTTGAGGTTTTGACAATGGTGAGTACGAGAATTCATTATCAGGGCGAGATTTTCCTGATGATGAAGGCAGCAAGGACCTGTAGTTTCATCATTATTTCTGGATGTCGGGGAAGATATTTTGATACGACTGAATGTAACCATTTAGAATTTGACTGGTTGAATGTGGTGACATATCTTGCATAATAGAATCTTATAATAACTATTATTTGCTTACGAAAATTCTGCCAGTTTTCCACAAGTCCATTCCACTAACAGCATTCTGTTTGCTAAAAATAACTAACTTAGTGAGACTTGAGGTTCTCACGGCTGCGTGTATGAAGTTGACTGTTTTATGGGTTGTTGCACAGTGCAGTGTTGAAAGTTTACCGTCGTTTCGGAGGTGCGTGCTGCCTCCATTGCCAATGAGATAATGGTTGCAACGTCCTAATGATGGAGGTAGAAAGCACCTCCGAAACGTTTGTAAACTTATACCAGACTGCACCGAGCAACAACCCAGAAATAAGCCATCTTTTACTTGAAAAATAAATCCCAAAATTATTTATTTATGGGTAGCTTCTGTTCTGCAGATGTGTTTTCTTTGTTACAAGTGTTTTAATGTTTAATCGCCTTTCACAGGTTTTGTAAAAAAAGGTACCTAACTTTCGCACAAAAGTTTAACTGTATTTTTAATCGCTTTCGAAATTTTGAGATTCTAATTTCCTACATCCATAGATATTAACTTCGGGCTAGTTTTTATTCTAAGCTTTCATATAGATTTTGTGGTTCGTTGTACTTATGGGGTATAGAATTAACATGTAAATATTATTACACATTTTGATTTTTGATTTTTGTTAATTAAATTAATACAGAAAGAGAATTTTAGTAAACGCATTTATGGAGACAAGAACTGGTTTTCTGTAATTCATCTGAAAATGATAACATCCCGAATACAATACTGAGGTTCCATCATTAGTGATTATGTCGCCATTTTGCCTGAATATCATAAAATCTTTAAGTTAATGTTTCTGGAACCCGTATGCCCACTGGAGTTCGACGGTCGTCTACTTAGAAGTGTCTGACGGGGGCTGCCTCTTGGGAACTGGGCGGTAAAGTTGCTAGGTACTGCAGAGCCCTCTGTATGGGCTCTGGGATAGGAGGTGGTGTCGGCAGGTGGGCCCCTTGTGGCTGGAACCCGTTTTCGTCTGCCACGTACGTGAGCTTGATCTGTTGTCCCTCAGGGGAAGTGTAAGACGCAGAGCCTTGAGCCACTTGGGCCTCTGTCTCGGGGTTCCCCGCGTTCTTCAAGAATCCGGCCTCTTCCACTGCGATACCGTTCCCCGTCTCAAAGCTGCAACAAATAATAATCTAATCTTTCGTTGCCAAACGCTGAGAAGCGGAATTAACAGCTCGTTGAAATCACCGGTTTAATGCATAATACCAGTCACCCTGACTCCAGAAATATGGGTACAGCTGAGAGAATGAAATCATTGTATCTCAAGAGTTCTCAACCTGAAGTCCTCCGACGGTTTCGTGGGAGAAATATACATTTCTCTAATCTTATACCAAACTGTATCACGAAGACGTAGACACCACCTGAATTAAATATTTAATTTCAGGTCAATTTAAAAGCTAATAGAATAATAAATGAATAGATATCGTAAGAAAAAGATTTTAGTTCTAAGTTATATGAAATTCCTTTCCTATCAGTTTGCAAACTAATAATGCTAACGCTAATTGTCATAAAGCTGTAGTCGGGCGTCCGTGAGTCGATAAGAAACCATGAATGGTAGTGGGTCTAGACGGTTGGATAGCCAATCATGCATTGGAAAAAGTAAAGTTGGTCACATCCAACCAAATTCGGTTCCAGTGCAAGAGTTTTCTATTAAAGGAAAGAACTTTACGAAATAAGCGAATGCTAACGTTGATGTTATTCCAAGTAGAAGTTGGTATTTTAAAATAATTCTATCCTATTATTTTACCTAGAATAATATACGTTAGAATCCAAAATATTGGTATACTTTTATTGAATTAATAAGGCTAATTCTGTAGGTTTGAAAATGTATGCAACTGGGGGCAATTATTTCAGGTCTGTTTAAAATAAGTGTGACCACAATACTTACATATTTGACTTTAACTAGCAGTGTTAAACATTCTTCTTGAGAAGATGTTTATCACTGAGCTAGTTAAAATCCCCGCCATTTATACAATCCGAATTATCATTAGTGTATAATTAAATCTACTCCTTCGGACCTCATCCTAACCAGGCGAATTCAGTTCACTTCCTCAAAACACTTTAGTGATGAGTTATATTTAATGCTAAGTGATATACCACCTACTCCTAGGTCTATCAAGTGGTCACTTCTCGTTATTCCTTATCATTCCCGTGTCTGCTACATACCCAGACTATCTCATTGTTGGCGGAAAGCTTTTCATGTAAAAGACCTTTTAGTTCAAAAGACCAGGGTCACACACGAAAAATGTTGTGCATCCTCACTGAGTGATGTGTGGAATTGTTTATCTTCTTTATCAGTAAAATAGGTTTTTTCCGGTCTACAAATGGCTGTCGAAACTGAGGTTTTACTCCACCCAGAAAATTTATTAAATTCATAAATCTGTCTACAATTCATTGATATCAATAATCACATCTATTGTTCCCAAATGTTGCTGGTACCTTGGATCTAGCTCAGTGTACTCGTTTATTTCTAAACGAATGCATACGTGTTATTGAATTTCTCTGCACCATGTACGGTTCAATGAACTGGACACGTTATCTAAACTACATTAACTCAGCCACGTAACATGAACGTAACCACAGTATGTCAGGTGAGGGCGTCAGGTAGGCAGTGTCATACGCTGGGCATTCAAGCAGACAGTTAAGACGGATAGAGAAAATGGTATGCAGGTGGTATCCGTTTTCCTAGCCCATTATCCGTTTCTCCGCATAGACAGGGCCAAATCATTGAAGAATTGTACATAAAAATTCCCTGAACCTCCGATGACCACATCCGTGGACGAGTTTTTTAACAGAGAAAGGTTTCCATTTCGCCCGCATCTGTCATTTTCTCCCAGTCTCCCGCTCGGCGCTCGTCTATTGTTTTAAAAATCCACAAACCTTGAAGAACGTTGCTAAATCTTCGCTTAGGAAATCCTGGATTTTGACTCAGATTGTCCATGATTGCTTTGTTCAGTATTTATTGCCAGAACTGAAACAGTATTGTGCAGAGGGGAATCTTTATTTCAAACTCATTTTAATTTTGGATATGTCCAGTACTCCTCTGCTGCATTGGGTTGAGTTAATCGGAGTATTATTTATATTTATTATTTAGTGTTCTGTCTGATGACAGGTCCATATGAACAGGATCCTTCCATCCTTTTCTCGGACTGGGACCTGTTCATATACGTTCTTGGCAGATGATCCAGAAGTGGTTTGCCATTGCCTTCTTCTGTGTGTGAATGGAGTAATTGTTGGGATGCCACGGAGAAACCGGGGAAGAAGCCCCCGGAGGAAAACTCCGTGTTGCCTAGACCACGGCCTTGCCCAACACAAGTTATAAATTCGGGCACCGCCGTGAATCGAACCAGAGATGTCGATTCTCACTTCATATACACACCTTTTACTCATACTTTAAGAAGTACCTGTATTTGTAGCTTCCATCAATATTTACTTCGTTCTCCTGGCGCAGGATCGGTATTGGCTTGTTCTGGACGCTGGTATCGGCAAAGTACTGTGGCGCTGCAGTCGCAATGACCAACACGGCCAGTGCTGCCAACTGTGAAATAAAAGCACCACTTAAATATCTTTTTCTTTTGAGTTCATCTTGACCCACCGATCGAAAGCCATGTCTCTATAAGCAAATATAATTATAAAGCTACAGAATGTTATTTTGTTGTAATATAAAAATAAGCATACAAATTGTTAACACTATAAATGACACTAGTGCCAAACGCGTTTCGACCTCAAGACGTCATCATCAGTGGTAAAAAGGGGGATTAATTCATATAATATGATCAAAGGAATATGGTTTTAAACAGATCATAAAGGTGAGTTCTTTAAAAAAGGATATTAAGTAAAACTTGACTGGATGTTGGGTGTTTGTATGTTTATTGTTATATTTCAATACACTCCACGGTATGCAAAGTTTTAAGATTACTTTTCAATACTAGGTAGACACCCTAGTATTGGTTGAAAATCCGAGAAATGATGAAAACATAAAGAGGGAATTATTGGAATGCTGAGGAGCTAAACATTTGAAAACAATTGAAAATATTATTTTTACATCTCCCGCATTATATAGCCACAAATTTCGTGTCTCGCGCTTCAAGGGAACTTCCGGTGATTAATTTGCATTAAACTTACAATCAATGTAAAAACTGCAAGTTTTTCCATGATTCGAAGGGCCTTGGTAGCCCTCAGAACGGTAATATGAGTCATTTGGCTGTCTTTCTGCAAGCCCCTGAATGCCAACTGTCATAAGACGACGTTATTGGCAAGATAAGACAAAGACAAAGACAGAACTGAAGGCATTTGCTCTTAGTCATAATTTTCACACCCACTTGAGCACAGCAAAACAATAGAAAGACGATAGGCCCATGGCGAATTCTCATCAGTTGCGTCTGTTTTGGTGGCCACGGCAAATTATTGCTTTTTCAGTATATCTTTGCCGTCGGCGATCCACGGAAATATTGAGTGATATAAGCTGATAATTTATTTGCCTGCAAACGTTTGTCTTAGTTTCAAATAAAATTAAATGGTTTTAAAGTAAAACCATTGTACCTGTGAACATCAGTCCGTGTGATTTTATGTCACATAATAATTCACCTTAATGAAATAACGTAACTTTGTTACTTTTAATTTTCAAGGTTATTGGACTCTGTTCGTTATTGTCGTATTTCTTTATTCATTTATTGCAGATGTGCAGAATGCTGAAATGATCTATCAGCATAAGTTACTGAGGAACTTCAAAGTAACTGATTCTGCATATTCTGTTCTGTCCAGAAGCTCTGCCCCTCAATACCAGGTTAGAGAATTAGAAACTACAGTTCGTCGGACGATAACACCACAACTCATAAGCCAAGAGGCCTATTAACCGGTGAGTACAGATTCTCCTTTTAATTATCTTTTAATTTGTGTTTCAACCAATTTTAGTTGATATTGTAGTTTACGAAACAAATATGGATGCTAAACAGAAATGTTTTTGCAAACCAGACAGCCACAGCTGAGGAAAGTCGGACTTCACTTGCTACAAACATTTCAGTACGTATAAAAATTACCCAGCTACAAAGATTAATGGTCATCTTGACATGAAGTTCGAAGTGGTTTCATTTATTCAATTATATTATTAAAACAAATTCGGTTGATTCATTTCCAACATTCGGCTTCATGCAGAATAGAAATGATCTTGGATTTTACAACGTGTATAAGCTGCTACATTTGATTGAGAAAGTAACACAGAAGTTTGAGGAACAATTTTTTTACATCTTAATAACACTGAGGAAATCATAGTAAAATTCAAAGGAGTTTAAGTGTCCACCTGAAAAGTCATAACACGTGGTTACAAATTCCGGGCGAATGCCAATAAATGTGGTCATATTTCAAAACTTTAGTCTTATCCTGGTAAAGTGCTCACTCATAGTTCTGATGGTGGAAGCAGCAAGGACCTCTGAAACGTTAGTAAACTTCTACCAGACCACACGGCACTAAAACCCAGACGACAGCCATCTTAAGTTAGAACTGATCTTATATATGTCTTAATGAGTGTTGGTGTTTGTGACTCATTTAATTACCTTATGATCTTCATCGAACTCTTCGTATCAGCGGATCAGACAGAATATTAGTTCTGCTTTGAACACCAACATTCGTCTCTATATTTCCAAAATTCTATCAGTCTGTTCATAATTATTGCAATTCATACCCCCACTGTCAATTTTAATGGGCCTTTCATCCTGCTACAAACACACGTTTGTATCTTGGGTACAGATATTCATTGAATTTTTGCAACAACGATTAGCTGAAACTCGTATGTACCCACTTTATTTAATCACTCTACCAGCACTGTTTTTGAAAGCACAATGCTACTCTTTCCTTGTTGTCCATTTTATGTCCAAATATTCTTCTTTTAAGTTTCCTTTTTCATGCATTCGACACAAACACACAAAAAAAATTCTTAATTAATCGTAATCATTTCTAATGTTCTTTATGATGATACAAAACATCAGTAGCTGACGCAGTATCGTTAATAATCTAGGAATCAAGTGGCCTAAAGCCTAACCACTGACTAATATTTTCTAATAAGTGTCAGTTTTTCAAGCGACCTTGTTTTACTGACAAATTGCCCGACCTAATCGGCTATTAATTCAAAAATAAATATTTTATCATTAACTCCAGTTATAATTCGTTTGTTAATTTATTTTTCCAACTTTTCACTCAGTGCTTACGTTACAGACGTGTTTTCACCTTCTTTGAAGAATAACTGCGCAAAGAGATGATCCTAAACAATGTTATTCTAATATTCAGATGGTAATCTGTGATTTTTATTAAATGGCACTACAGTTGATCCCATTTTAGAATTTTGCACACCAACCATGTTAGAGTACACTAAGATAGAAGTTAAGAAAGGACAATGACATTAGTAAGAAACTCATGTCAGTTTTCATGCAAATCCATAATCTGGTAAAAATTATTTGAAAATGGAGTTCAGTCCTCACACAGAGAACTTATCACCATCAAACTATCCCTCGGACTTCAGTCTACAACAGATCGACTCTCTTATCTTGCGATTGTAATTTTCCTGTATTCGGGTAAAGAGGTAAAACCCTAAAATTATAAACGAAATATAACGGTTTCTTTTGGAACCTTTAGTACATATCACCTGTTATTTATCTTATTACTATGAAATTGATTCGTGAGGGCATTTCAGAAAATTTTATCAGTTCCTTGAGCCTTTATCTGTAGCCCTTTTCATAGCACCTGCTAACGCAAAGTTAGAAAATAAACCAACAAAGGACACAATGAGAAATTCACCTGTATTGCTGTAGTCTTCATGATTCTCGTGTCTTCACAGCTTCTGTTTGTGCTTTGGAGTGTCATGGAGATGCCTTGCTCTGCTTTTTATACGAAACAGATTAGGTAGGCTTCAGACGTTACATTCAAATTCCACCTTCATCCATAACACAAACCTTCCTCCCCTCCCCAACGCCCATGTCAGTCAGAGTTGCCTGTAGCGCATGTAATAATTATGAAAAAGGTCGTTACCGAAGCGAACTGGCCGGTGGCCGGTTACATGGGTCCGGGGTTGGGGTGACTTTCTACAAATCTCGCTGACAGGAGCAATAAATATGGTCAGCGACTCTCAGAACATCTGGTAAGAACACATGTGTTTCAAGGATTTAGGAGAAACTAACTAGCCTCTTCAGTTCAGTAACAATTATCATTAATTGATTTACTGATAACTTAGAACACACGGTCGTAATCAGCAAAATAGAAAAATAAATTTTAGGTTGGGTTTGAGATGTTTTAATGTCAGTTTGTGTGTTCATTAAGTGAATGCCTTTGTGGGAACGTAGTGTTCATCAGCTAGTTATACTTATCTTCTTCTTAAAGTGCCTATCCGTTCTGGATGTTGGCCATCACCATAGCAATTTGAGTTTTACTGGCTACTTGAAACAGCCCCCCAGTGGACATCGAGAACCAAGTTTTTAGGTTCTGAAGCCAGGAGATTCTTGGCCTGCCAGGTCCCCTCCTTCCGAATCCTTTTCCCTGGATTATCAGCTGAAGCAGCCCGTATCTATCACTATTGCTCATGATATGACCGAAATATTCCAAATTTCTCTTTTTTATGGTCCAACCTAGACGTCTTTGCGGAGTTTCTCGAAAACTTTTTTTTTGTTGGTTACACGGTCAGTCCAGGAAATTCTGAGAATACGTCGGTACAACCACATTTCGAAGGCCTCCAACTTTTTTTGAAGAAGCTTCGGTCAACGTCCACGATTCAGCGCCGTATAAAATCACGGAGAGAACATGACATCTGAGTAATCTTAACTTGGCGTTTAAGTTTAAGTCTCTATTCCTTAACATTGATCCCATTTTGATGAAAGTGGCTCTGGCTTTTTCGATACGTCACTTTATTTCGAATGAGTGATCCCACTGGTCATTAATTGTGCTGCCAAAGTTTGTATATTTCGATACTGTTTATATTTTTCTATTAACTACTAGCTGACCGGGTAATACAGCATGGCAGTTATCCTTATACGACATGTATATATTATGTTCTTTACTATCCAATGGATTACGGTGGAATTTTGTGTTGAAATTTTACAATATAACTAATTTGACGTATGCTACTCCTGTTATACCTTTACGGTGCTTCACGTCAAGCTGAAGTTAGGATTCTCAAAAACCAATTTATCTTACAAAATTAAAAGTAACTTTGGATACAATGTATTTATAACAAAGTACAATGGATTAAATTTGATTAATATTCTGTTTTTGCTGTTTCCTCGCGAGAAAGCATGATAAGTATAATATTAAAAAATGGTTAATAAATACTTTAAATTGTGGCAAGGTTCGAGTGTTTGGGCACGAGAGTAAGAAATTAAAACTACATTCACGAATAAATTAAAAAGAAAATAAATTTAGGGAATGCTTGTTACCAAGCATTTCAGAATCTCTTGTTTTTCCTGCTTTCATCTAAAAACACAAAGGTTAAGGTTCCTGTTATGTTGTATGTATGTGAACATTTATCTACGATCTCCCTAGAATTACACTGGTTGAAGGTGTTTGAGAACTTTGTGCTAAAAATAATATTTGTGTCATCTTGGGCACTGATATTCTTTCTATCACGAAACGGAATTATTTGGAAGATGTAAAATTACATTTGAGTAGCTTTATAATTTAGACTCTATATTATTAGGGTGATGAAGTGAAGGAGGATTAGCTAGGCGGGGCATATAGCATGCATGGAAAATATGAAAAATGTTGTATACATATCTAGCCTGGAAACTTGAAGGGATAATAACATTTGGATTACCTGGGCCCAGGTAGAAAATTATATTAAATTTCGTATAAATTAATCAGATGGGAGGGTTTGGATAAAATTAATTTGGCTCAAGACAGAGACCGGTGACGGGATTTTGCGAACTCAGTATTGAAACTATAGGTTTCATAAATGGCGGGGAATTTATTGACTGGCTGAGCGACTGTTAGGTTCACAGGACCAACTCATATGTGGAGTTCATTTTTAAAAAATTTAAATTTTATTATGGTACGCAGTGTCTTGTGTGGAGTTCATTTTTAAAAAAAATAAATTTTATTATGGTACGCAGTGTCTTGTGGAAGCATGTAGGAAAAAGGTGTATAAATACTTGTTTAAGGTTAGGTTAGCTTAGGTTAGGTTAGGTCGACGTGCTTCTTGCCCGCTTTGTTGACGAAAGAAAGTGGATCTTTAAGTAAACGTTGTACAACTACTGAATGACTCAGCCAAGTTCATGGCGGAGGAACTGCATTAACGTGTAACTAAACCCATGGAGCACAGTTCTCCTTGATAAGTTAGTGAAGACATTTAACTCCTTTCTTGTAACCGGAACCCCGTTATGAGTCAGTTCAGTTCCGTTTACACACTTACACCTTAGGACGCCCAATTTTCTGTTGCCCAAGTCGTTCCAAATAATCAGTCCACGTTCGAGTCCTTGAGAAACAATTTTAATTCGCTAGTATTTTACGAATTCAGTTTTACTTGGTCATTTGAAAGTTTCAAATGCTTTTAACCTAATAGAACTGAATTACTACAGTAGTCCTTCAGTGTAAATACAGTGTTATAACTATATTTCTCCGGTGCAGGTACTCAAGGAACTGACAAATCTACCTCCTGTGGGTGTCGAAGAACACGATGATGACCGGAGGGTACAAAGCGCCCTGTATTCTTGTTTCTTATTCATACAGAGAACAGACGCCACGCGTCTTCTGGTGCTCGAGTGAGAGTAATCGGTGCGTCTCACTTGTTAGGTTATGTTCTCACTGTCTTTGTGCACGTGTTGCGCCTGCGCGTAGTCTCCTTCTTCCTCCGTGGTAATTTGTGTCTGTGACGCTCATTACAGGTCTTACTCGTTTCTTCGTCTGCATCTGTTGTCTCTTTTCAATCCGCAAGCACGCACATGCATCGTTCCAGTGACAGTCTGCTGTCATTCTGCTGTCGCCAACTTAATTGACACTGTTATATATCGATACCTTTTCTACTTGTATTGTACGGTGTTTCTTTCGAGATCACTAAATTATTGGACTATGTCCATCGTCTGTGTGTGTTTTAAAACAGAACACTATTTTTCGGAAGTTGGATCTGCGTCCGTCCAGGTTAAAAAGGGGAGAGGGACACCTACTCGGTTGTTTCCGATAGAAAGAGCTAACCTCAGTCACTGATCCAGTGGTCATTCTGACCATGCGTGGCACTGGCATGCCTCGGAACTTGTTTACACCTGTCGACAGCCCCGTTCGGCTGAGATTTAACTCTCCTTTTAAGGATAATCTACTTTTTCGAAAGTCGAATGAGCTTCTCCCTACACACAGTGCGCCCAATGACATCGGGTTGTATGGAAAAGTGGCTTATCGCTGTGAATTGTATTGAGTTTGCGTCACTATAGTGTGGTCTGTGAGAAATGTCATCCCAGACCAGATGTATCAATTTTACGGTCTACTCTATTAAAGGACCAAAGTCACTCGATTGAAAATGTCGGTTGCCTAAAGTTATTAAGTCATTATAGTACAGATCAACAGTAAATAATCCGCGGAGATATTAAATTATTTTTTTATAATAGGACTTTGGATAGTTCTTAAATTTACATACTCAATAGCATAGAGATAAAGTATTGCGTTCTCCGGAGTATTAAATAAGATTAAAACCTACATATTGAAGAAAATTCATGTACTGCATATATTAAAGAACTCACCATCTACGGCAATGGTTCTCGACATTTGTTACAACAGTTGAAAATTTTTGTAACAAAATATTTTTACGAAAACCTCGAAATAAAACTTTTGAGCACTTTATTTTGTAACCCTATATCAAAAAAGGCAAATAACTCCACCCTATATTCAGGAAACAGTTTATTTTGTACTTTCTCAGTGCGTCGAGTGGACCTGCGTGTTGCTAAGAAGGAGATGGAGGTGACGTAATATGCTTTTACGAGGTGCGATCGGAAAGTTTCTAGACTGCGCCTATAAAAACCCGTACACTTATCTCAGGTATTAAATTCATCCATCACCCTCGAAGTAGTTCCCCGGGGAGTGAACACAACGATCCCAGCGCCGCTGCCAAGCCTGGAAGCATCCCTGGAAATCTTTCTTTGTCAGCCTGTCAAGCACCATCTGCGATTCTGCCTGAATCTCTTCTATCGTCTCAAATCTCATTCCCTTTAGCTGAATTTTCATCTTTGGGAAGAGGAAGAAGTCACACGGAGCTAAATCCGGCGAATAAGGAGGGTGCAGGATGACGGCCATGGTGTTTGAGGCCAAAAACTGCCGAACTTTGAAGGCGGTGTGCGCTGGTGCGTTGTCATGATGCGTCGCATGTGGAGTTCTTCCTTTAGAATCAGCGGACAGGTCCCATAGCCTATCCCAACAATGTCGCACAAGTCGTTGATGGTACGACGTCGATATTCGTAACATTTTCGGGCGTTGTGCTCGAAGATGGTCGTCCAGAACGCTCGTCATCATCGACAGAGGTTCGGCCATTTTTAAAACGTGAATGCCACACAAAAGTTTGCGGACTCCCCAAATGCTTGCTTGAGCATTTCATAGGTTTCCGTAGCCGTTTTGGCGAGTCTTTGGCAAAATTTGATGCACACGCCATTCCGAAATCGCAGGAGGGTCGGTGTAATGCACTACCAAAACGCCCATAACTAGCCGGCTGGCACAGTGATTCACTATGAATGTAGGCCGCACCCCCTAGCGGCAGATGCTCGTACTACATCCGGTTCGCCCTCTATTGACACAGTCTTGAAACTTTCCGATCGCACCTCGTATGGAAACCCATATCGTCGCGTGGTGAAATTCAATATTCGTGTTATGTCTTTTAAAATTCTGTTTCGCAAAGATATGTACATGAAAACTGAAGCAGATACTATT